ATCTTCACTAGTCTTTCATATTGTCAGTATTTTAAATTTTAGCCAGTCTATTTGGTATGTAGTAGTTATCTCATCATGGTTTTACATTTTTCTAATGGCTAATGTTATACAAGCTTACTTATCTTTACAGGCTCTTTTTGTTCATTTTCTAATTGTACTGTTTACTTTCTCACCACTGAGTTTGGAAAGTTCTTTACATATTCTGGATACAAGTCCTTCAGATATTTGATTTGCAAATATTTTCTCCTAATCTGTGGCTAATCTTTTCATCTTATTAACCAGGTCTTTTACAGAGCACAGACTTTAATTTTAATGAAGTCCATTAAATGAAGATTTTTTTCTCTTATGAAATGGGGTTTTGGTGTTATGTCTAGTAACTGTTTCCCTAGCCCTAGATCCTGCAGATGTTCTCGTGTTTTTTTATAAAAGTTATATAGTTTTACATTTCACATTTAAATTCATTTTACATTGATCTCACAGGTATCCATTTTACTTTTTTTTTTTTTTTTTTTTTTTTTTTTTTTTTTTTTTTTTTTTTTTTAAGGTGTGAGGTTTAGGTCAGGGTTCATTTTTTTGTCAATGATGTCCAATCATTCCAGCACCATTTGTTGAAAAGACTATTCTCCTACTGAATTGCTTTTGTACCTTTGTCAAAAATCAATTGGGCATATTTGTGTTGATCTATTTCTGGGTTCTCTATTCTGTTCCATTGATCTGTCTACTACTCTACCAATGCCACACTGTCTTGATCAATGAAATTATATCTAAGACTTAACATTATGTAGAATGATTCCTCCCACTTTTTCTTCCCTAACATTGTTTTAGCTATTCTAACTCCTTTCTTGCTGCTGATTTTACTTTACTACACTGCTTATTCTTGCTTTTAAGGTCTCCCCTATACCTACTATGGGTATGAAAGCTTGGGGAAGAAAGGAGAAAAAAGAATCACAAAGGAAACAATATGTAATATACTACCACCATCCTAAAATATTACCTATGTAATTTCTGTCCACCGATCCTAATGACATCCCAATTTCTTCATGAGAGGTTCTCTACTATTCCAGGACACTTCAGTATCTCTAAATGAAATAGCTAATATATCCCCACTACTCATTAGCCACAAGTCATTTACTTCCTTCTCGTAGATAGTTGTAAATATACTGTGTCCAACACAATGCCTGTTCATCAGGGAACACGGTCCATGTTTTAGACTTCTTTATTTTCCTCCATAAGCTTCAGTAAACATTGAGCTAATTAATTGAGGATTTCTTTTATCTAACTGGAACTTACAATATAAAGATCCTAGGATATCTAGAAGAACAAGGGTAAAAATTAGCTAATTGCTACACTGTTCCTAGTAATAAAGTCATTATTTCACCAAGTCTCAAGATTTTAAATTTAATCTCACTTCTGAATCTGTTAGAGTATACCTCTAGGCTCTTTTTCATTTTCTTGATGAGATGGCTTAGGTAAAGAAAGAGAAGGCAGTGAATAATAAATTATGGTGATTTGCTTTTTTTCTCCTGCTGTTTGCCCAAAATGCCACCCTTCACCCAAATTTTAAGGTTATTAGACATGATTCATCTCTAACATTCCATGAGGATTTAAACAAAAAGGAAAATGGTCCAAGGGGCTGGAATATCGATTTAAGTACATCACAGAAACTCAAAATTTAAAATGAAACTGTAAAAGAATTTACCAAGTCCAGTTTCCTATAGTCCTACCTAAATCAACTACAAGGGGTCTTTGTGTTCTTGGCTAACATACTGAGAGCATTCTCCTCTTAATTATCAATACTTTGCTGATAAGATTTCAACAAAGTAAGGTGTACATCAATTGAAAAAAATATAGTTGCTTAATCCATGTTTTCAACAATAATCATACAGTCTGGAGGTGCCTGGGTGGCTCAGTTGGTTAAGCGTCCGACTCTTGATTCTGGCTCAGGTCATGATCTCACAGTTCATGAGTTCAAGCCCCACAACCAGCTCTGCACTGATGGCATGGAGTTCACTTAGCATCCTCTCTCTCCCTCTCTTTCTTCCCCTCCCCTGCTCATGTTCTCTCTCTCAAAATAAATGAATAAACTAAAAAAAACAAAACAAAAAAAAAATCACAGTCTGCCTACTCTATGATCAAATGCCTGCTCCACAGCTAAAACAAATACAGGACTCCCTCCCTAAAAGTTGTTTGTTCACTGACTGCCTGTGAGTTCAGACTGTTTAAAAAATAATTTACAATACACTATCAAAGTAAATATAATAAAACTACACACACATTAGCTCTTTTCTTACAAAATAAAGCAATCCATATGTCACCACAACACCTTTGCCAAAACTTAATTATTTTGTTCCTCCCCATTTCTTTTTGCGGTAGTATGGTACGGGGCAGGCAGGGCAAGCTGTAACCAGGAAATTTTTAGAGCCACTAGTCTTACAAGCTTTCATCTAGTGTGTCTCTGGTGGCTTCAGGAGGGATCTTCTCCAACACCCCATGTGATGCTCTAGCAACTAAGTATATGAATTATAATTCTCAGAATATACACATTAATTACACTTTTTCTAGCTCTGCCCTTTTCACTTCAATGTTTTATTACAACGACTATAATATGCACAATGCAATATACTACTCCAACCCCCACCACACACAGTGAAACCCACTATTTGATGACCAAAATAAGAAATTTCATAGTTGTAGTACTGCAAGAACATGGAATAATCTGAACTCAGGCATTGCTCATAAGAGTGTCAGCTAGCACAATCACTTCGGAAAACAATTTGGTATTATTTACTAAAGCTGAACACGTGCATACATTCCTGCATCTATTCTTTCAAGACAAGTACACCAGGAGACATGTACAAATACATTCACAGCAGCATTTTTCATAACAAAAATGCAAACCACCCAAATGCTGATTGAAAGAAGACTGTGGCATATTCACACAATAGGATTTCATACACCAGTGAAAAACTAATGAAGTACAATTAAACATGAAATGGATGAATCTTAGGAACAATTATGAATAAAAAACTACACATAGCAGACTCAATGCAACAAACTATCATATTTATAAATTTCAAAAGTGAGCAAAATTTAACATGGTATTATTTAGAGGAGCACTGATACAATTTTTAACAAGGAAAAATAAACACAAAATCCAGTACCCTGGGGCTCAGGGGCATGGACTGGGAAGTACAGACAGTTTCAAAAGGATTCATAAATACAGTTTTAAAACTGGATGGAAAGCTCAATACTTTAATTATTAAGCTGTAAAACATGTAAGTGTGTGTGTGTGTGTGTGTGTTTTGAGTGTATAGCATCTAAAATCTCTGCAAAATTAATATTCCATCTATAGGACAAGTTTAGCGCAGTCATAAAATGACATTCCTGATCACTGGAGATAATGCCAACAAATAAAATCACTTTATTACAGCTATTCGGTAACTTTTGTAGTGACAAAGAAATGACAGGTGTCTCATAAAAAATTATAGCAAGGGGGAAGGCAAGGGAAGTGGGAGTAGTTATAAAAGGGCAACATAAGGGATCCTTCTAGTGACAGAAATGTTCTCCATCTTGACTATATCAATGCCATTAATCTACTTCTGATATTGTACTACAGTTGTACAAGATGTTACTATTGGGAAAACTGGGTAAAACATACATTGGATCTCTCTGTATTATTTCTCCCAACAGCAGGTGAATCTATAATTACCTCAAAATAAAACTTTAATTTAATAAAAGAAAATAGGAAAAGATATTTTTGTCTAAGGCTTCTCCACTTTGGTACTATTGACACTGGGGGACACATAATTCTTCATGGTGGGGACTGTTCTGGGAATTGCAGGGTGTTCAACAGCATCTCTGACTTCTACCCACTAAATGTCAGTAGTATGCCCCAGTTATGACATCTCCATATATTGCCAAATGTTCTCTAGCAGGCAAAACTGCCCCATTTAAGAACTACTGCTTTACTCACAAAAGCAAAGAACTGTGGAAATGTTCTCAACAGAAGGAGTCTCAAGAGACATGACAACTAACTGTAATATGTGAGGCTAGGCTAGTTCCTGTACTAGAGAAAAAAGCTATAAAGGACATTACTGGGTCAATAAGCAAAACTGGAATATCAATGGTAGATTAAATAAAAGTATTGTATCAATATGAAATGTGTTTAAATAATGTAAAGAATATTCCAATGCTTAGGAAATACACGGTTAAGTATTTAGGTGTAAAGGATCATGATGAATGCAATCTACTCTCAAATGATTCACTAGATATATATGTGTGTTTTACATATACATGTAAATATTGTGTATATATGTATAGATGAATTTGATTAAAAGGTATACAGATGTGTTCTTCGTACTATTTTTATTCTTGCAACTTTTCAGTATGTTTGAAATTATTTACAAATAAAAAAGGTTTTTGTTTGTTTTTACTGGAGGCAAAAGTTGTGGTCTTAACATCCTAATAGCAAGTTTCACAGTAGTAGTCCAGCATAACTGATAAAAATCCCAAGAGGATCGTGACTCCTGAGTGAATAAATTCCTACCTTAAGCCTGGGACATTCCCTAGAAAGAACTCTCTACCTTCAGCATATCTCCTCCTCCCCATTCTTTCTGGAGGCGACCTCTTAAACAGCGCGGAACCGAGAATCAACCTATCCCGCTTTTAAAAGACCATTCCTAGAAAGGTGACTCAAACCCACATCCTTACTCGATTTCTCCGTAATTCACTGAGGCATCTTTACCCTGAATAATTAAGAAGCAAAAACACTAAAAAAGTAAGAAAACCACTTATCCGCTCATATGAGCAAAAGGAGGAAGAAAGTTACGATGAGTGGACTAGAGGAGATAAAACACCAAATGTCTTAACAGGTCTGAGGAAAGGAAGGGGTAAAAAGAAATGAGCAGAGAGCCAGGCTGAGCGAGGCAGGAAGGGTGCATCGGCCAGGAAAAAGAACTCCAGTGGGTGGGAGTGCGTCAGGAGGAGAGGGAGTAGCTCACCTGGCCGTGGTAAGCAGAGGGTGTTGAGTCCCCACCAACTTCCGCACCTGCATAGCGATGTTGCTGAGTTCGTCGCTGAGCAGGCAGCGGAGGCTCATGAAGGACGTGGGATAGCCCACGATCTTCTCCGCCTCTGACACTACTTGGTTCCAGTGGGCCGGGGACCTGGAGGACTGACCACGCCAGGAGCCCACCGAAGAGATGGTATCGAGGAACGGGGACCACCACAAGCGTCGCGGGGAACCCGAGACCCCGAGATAACGGGGTAAGCGCAACAGCAGCCGCCGAAGGCTCATAGTTTGAGTCTGGGAGTGTCAGGGATTTGGGGGGTGTCCGGAGGTGGCGCAGGGAACAAACCAGGGGCAGAGGAAGAACTTGCAGGAACTAGAAGGAACCGGCAACTCCTGACCCTGAAAGAAGGGAGAGTTCCTGGAACCGTGACTAGAAACGAACTTTAACTACAGCTTTCAGCACTTCAGGCTACACACACAACAGCCCAAGCTCAGCACTGCCCCTGGCCACCTGAGTAGAAACTACTGCCGCTTCTTAAATGGGGGACGCCATGTTGGAGGCGTGGAATACGGCCTGTCGTAAAGACAGCGAGGCGGGCTGTTCGGGAGCAAAGCATGTTCCCTACTTTACGACACAGTCGTGAACGCTCCCAGGAGGGAGGGGGCCTTGGTAGCGAAACGCTGAAGACGAGGGGTAGGGCGAAAGTTTAGGCTCCTCCCACACCCTTCCTCACCCAAGGTTGAAGGATTTAGGTTGTCCTGGATTGGGGTGGGGCGTGAGGGGCTGCTGTGTGGTGCTCCAACGCCCGGAGCGGGGGCGGAGTCTGATTCACCAGGGCGTGCCCAATTCCCAGCACAGAGAGGGCACACGTGAATATTTGTGTTATGAGCGAGGGTGGGTGTCTACCAAGTCTCTTTTCGTGGCTCCCAGCCCTCCCGGAAGGAGGGGCCTCGGGCGGGGGTGCCGGCCCCTCTCGGAAGCCTCTCGCAGCTGTCCGCCCCCAGCCCCTGGCAGTGGTAGTGGAAGGGCAGGAGGGAGGGCCCCTAGGCCGGCGGGGCTTTTGGAGCTACCCGCCGCTACTCAGCATTGAGACGCAAAGTGAAGGCGCGCGGCTGAGCCCTTTTTGCCCTCAGTTCCCAACCAGACAGAAGGTGGCGTGGCCTGGCAGAAAGGGTTCTTTTTCCCAAGGAATGTCCTCGATCCTTGCCTAATCACCAGCCTCCTCGCTGAGCCTCGGTTTCCCCCTGTGTATGACCCAGGCAGAAGCAGCCATGCCTCCACAAGGGTGCAGAGGCCCACGCCCAGACTCTCGCCTTTCTCACCCGAAGGAAGCAACGTTCACCATCCAGGATTCAAAACTATTACTGGCCCTAGTGTTTTTCACTTACAGCTCACGTATTCGCTCATTGAATGCTCAAAACAACTCTATTAAGTAGTGTTAGTATTCTCCATGTTTCGGTGAGAAAACAGGCACATCCAGACTGTGTGAATTGTCTAAGGCCACACTAGACAGGGATGTTATCTCAGCCAGTCAGGTTTCTGAATCCATGCTCTTAACCACAGCATTACACAAAGTAACAAACTACCAACCATGCTTCTCTCTTCATTGCTGAGGGGAAGCAGTCGATGTGGTTATCCTTTAGGTAATGCTACGTTTCTTTGTTCAGGTATGTTTAGCATCCTGCCCCTTGTCACATCACCCAAAACAAGTGTTACAAAACTCCTGTTAATAATGAAGAATATATTACCCAGTTTTACTCTCTTTAAAAAACGCTGTTAGGGATGCCTGTGTGGCTCAGCTGGTTAAGCATACGACTTGGGTTTTGGCTCAAGTCATGATCTCACCATCCACGGGTTAGAGCCCCACATCCGGCCCTGTGCTAACGGCACAAAGCCTGCTTGGGATTCTCTCTCTCCCTCTCTCTCTCTACCCTTCCCCCTCTTGCTCTGTCTCTCTCTCTCTCAAACTAAATAAATCTTTAAAAAAACTTGTAGGGGCGCCTGGGTGGCGCAGTCGGTTAAGCGTCCGACTTCAGCCAGGTCACGATCTCGAGGTCCGTGAGTTCGAGCCCCGCATCAGGCTCTGGGCTAATGGCTCGGAGCCTGGAGCCTGTTTCCAATTCTGTGTCTCCCTCTCTCTCTGCCCCTCCCCCATTCATGCTCTGTCTCTCTCTCTCTCTGTCCCAAAAATAAATAAAAAACGTTGAAAAAAAAAATTAAAAAAAAAAAAAAAAACTTGTAAAACCTCCAACTTTCAAAATCCTTTCAAATTCATGATCGATATTTTAAAAATTAGTATCTTGCACAGTACTGGACTAGATTCTGGCTACATGTAAAAATTCAGATTTTAAAAAAGGCAAACTAAAGTAATTATTCACTTTGCAAAAAGATGCGTTTCTCTACAAATTAGCTTCAGACTCCCTTTAAATAGCAATTATTCTTTGTGATTTAAAAATCTGATTTTATTTCCAAAAATTCAATTTAGGCATAACTTTTCAGGGATACATTTTAGATCAAGTGAATTGTGCTTGTAAGTGTTAAACACAGTCTACACCCGCAAAATAAGTAAGGCAAGCTGAAGTTCAAAATAATTCCTGTGGAAGAGATAACAAACTCCTGGCAATAAAATTCAGCTCTGTTCTAGATGAAAATAAATGTGGAGAGTGAGATACCTTACCGTTTCAAAAAGTTCCAAGGCCTGAGCTTCTGGGTTATCCAAGGTGAAAGAAGTCACGAAAAAATGAAGAGAGATAAAGACTGAATGCAATAGATTGTGCACCTGAGGCTGTTTCTTCCGAATCATAGAACCTTAAGACTAACTTTTCATGCAATTTCCTTAATACCAATTCACAGCATGTACTTTAATTTTTCCACAGAAGCCAAATGCATTATTCTCTGGTCATACTCTATTAACCAAGTTTTTGATTATTCATGGGACTCTTGGTCCCATTTACTTTAAATAATCAGCACTTTCCTTTATGCTTATAGTTAAAAGGTTGCACTATACCTAATGACAATCAGTTTTTAGAAGGTTAAAATGGTATTTATTCTTTAATCTTCCAGATAAATATATAACTCCTTTGAGTCTTTCTGACTAAAGAGATTTCTGAATTGCTACTGGCTTTTGGAGGAGCAGGGGAAGAAATATCTGTGATTCTGACCTTCCTCTGCCACTGGTAATACTCATTTTGCAGATTTCTCAACTTTGGTACTATTGACATTTGGGGGCATGGGATTCTCTGTTATGGGGAGGAGGGCTCTTCTGTGCATGGTAGGATGTTTAGCATCATCCCTGGTCTCTACTCACTATAAGCCCGCAGTACCCCTCTCGAAGTTGTGACAACCCGATGTGTCTCTGGACATTGTCCCTCGGGGGCAGAATCAGCCATGAGAATATAGGAAAATGGGAGATGCTGGAAAAAAACAAAAAACCAAACCAAAACAAACAAGGGCCATTGATGACATTTACTCCTACAAAGCAGCAAAAAAGAAGTCCCAGGTATGAGTAGTCCTGCAAGTTAAAGTGGTCACTCCACAATCTGTGGAAACTTCCTGCCATACACAGGGACTTCTCCAACTCCTTGGAACTTGGGGGTTGTTTAGCAAGGTGGCAAAAGATGGTCATGGTTCCTCCTACGCCTTTCTCAGAATCCTGAAATTGGTAAAGTACCAGTCCTCTCTGCCTTCTGCTGACCTTAGAAACAAGTGAAATTATATTTGATGTCCTTTTCTTTGGCTGGAAACCTAAACCAGCCTTTGAAAGTACAAGGTCTTAGCAAGGATGGTGTATGCTTTGGGCTTTGGCCATTTCTATGATTAGGTGAGTGGGAATAGATAGGGACACTGCAGTCACCCTTCTACCACCCTCAACACAGTCACTTATTGTTTATGCCAAGAGAGTGCTTTCCAAAGCAGTTGAAAAGCATTGTGGTATATTATGGGGCAGGATGATGAAAGGAGGCGAGTAATCAGACTAGCAGCAACCCAAAAATTTGACTATCTAGTGGGCTGCAGGCTGTAGAGACAGCACATATCGCCAGTGAGATTATAAAATAGTTTCACAGCATCTATGGAAGGGAATTTGATAATCCCTAGAAAAATTACATATGCATTTATCCTTTGACCCAGAAATCCCAGTTCTAGGAACCCTTTCCAAAATACAAAATAACATGCACAATTTTATCGCAGTATTATTTGCAATAGCAAGATTGGAAACAAACCAAACAACCACAAGTAGGGGAGTGGTTGAATAAACTGGAATAAATCCATGTAATGAAATACACTGTGTAACTCTGAAAAAGAACGAAGGCCATCTCTACACTGATGTAACATGAGCTCCAGAATATGGGTTAGCTTTAAAACAACAATAGCAACAAAAAACAAACCAAGATGCAGAACAACATAGTGTTCTTTTTTCTGTAAGATAGGTGCACGAGATGAATATACACTTGCATATGTATTTGGGCTGGGAAGAAACAGAAGGGACAGGCATTAAACAGACTACTCTTTACATACCTTGACTGTATGGTTTTGAATTTAAAATCATGTATAGGGGTGCCTGGGTGGCTCAGTTGGTTAAGCTTCTGACTTCGGCTCAGGTAGTGATCTCACAATTTGTGAGTTTGAGCCCCATATCAGGCACTGTTGACAGTGCGGAGCCTGGAGCCTGCTTCAGATTCTGTGTCTCCCTCTCTCTCTGCCCCTCCCCTGCTCAAAGGCTCTCTCTCTCTCTCATTCTCTCTCAAAAATAAACATTAAAAACATTTTAATCATGTATATATTTGACATATCCAAAATAGTTTTAAATTTTAAAGAAAAATGTAATTCCTAAAATTTGAAAACAAACTGAAGCAAATGATCTAAATGTATATTAAGTTGGTGACATAACCACATCAAGTAAATAATTAAATGATTTTAGAAAGTAGTGTTTTTATAGTGCACTTATAGTGGAATATGTCCTCAGGATAAATAAACCTACAAAGAAATCTTAAACTTCAATCAGTAGTCTTATTGCTGATAGAAATATAGATATTATTTCCTTCAAACTATTCTTATATGTTATAGGTAAAAGCAAATGTTAGAGTTGTTAGGAATGATGAGTAAGTAGAATCCATGTAAAATTAAAGTGAAATTGGAAGTAGCATGAACTTAAAACTTGTCCTTTTCAAAAATGTTTCTTATGGGCCAATAAAAGTTTATACAGGCGCCTGGGTGGTTCAGTCTGTCGAGCATCTGACTTCAGCTCAAGTCATGAACTCGCAGTTCTTGAGTTCTCTGTGATGAC